TTGCATGGAAGAAGTGTTGGACGGCCAACTTTGTCGAGCGCGACTCCAAGGGGTCTGAGCATGTGCCTGTGGAGCCTGTAATCAAAGATCGGGTCTCTGGCCAATAATATGGCGTTAGAGGGGATAGCAACAACATCGATGACAGCATAAGCTATGAACTGACCACCGAATAGCTTACATAGCTGCAATTTGTGTCACAGGGAGAAATTCTTGAGGAGATTTTTATCAGGGGAAAAGGAGATAACAGTCTCAGAAAAGCATTCCAGTGAAATAAGAGAAATGCTGAGAGTACTGGAAACTCTTGCTTTGTAAGTTGAGAAGCATTACCTTAATAAAGTAGTAGCTACGGGTGCTACAAATTTACTTAACGATAACGGTTTTGAAAACTATAAAATAGTTAATTGCAAGTTTCTTTATGTTTTCAATTCAAAAATCTAAATTAAGAAAAAACGGTTTCGCTTATTTTTTTTTCTGACAAATGCTCTCTTTCGTGCCAAGCTTGCCTAGACAAAATTCCAACGAACTGTACTTAAAATTTATATAAAGAGGAAACACTTTTATTTTAAATAAATCTTACACTAACACAAAGCACGAAAAACGAGAGAACACATAAAACTTTGCATATTTACATAAAAGTAGATTATCGAAAAAGAATTATACCCGACGTTTCGCATCATTTATGAAATCTTGTTAGCAATTCTAATCACATTAAAAAAACATAACATTTCACTCTGCGTGCCTTAGGGTGAAAAATGAATTGTCTATTTTTCCTTTTTTTGGAGGCCATTTTCGACGAATGGTGAGTCTCCTTTCCGCTAAATTTTAAAGTGTAGGAGAAAAAATACCTTTAAATAACTTTCTTGTTAAATGATATATAATAAATAATTAATTACATCAGTATAAAACTGTTTAATTTTTTTTCCCAGAATAGAACGCATTATCCTATTTTACATTGATTCCTGTGGAAAAACCTTGTTTCGCTTAACGAGTGTTTCACGTTTTGAGTAAGATTCGAGAACGAATTATGCTAAGCGAAGTTTCACTATGATTGTTATATCTAAACTCCGAACTATCAGCACCATTACATCTAAACTCGAGAATAATCCTACGGAAGAACGTAGTTAGAACTCTGAACCCGAACTCGAATGACTGTTAGATTGAGAGCGCGTAATTTTTATGTAACCTAATAATTGTATATAAAAATGTATAAATGTATCTAAATATAATCTGTTTATATTATACAGAAGTGTCAGTCATTATGCAAAAGCTTTGAATAAGAATTTGGAATGGAAGAAGCTCGGCTCCCTGGTGAAAGAAAAGGTAAAAGATCATTTTTTACCTTTTTAGAATTCTATTGAGAGATACAAACATTTTTTGGCATAAGAATTTAAATTAGACAATAAATATTTAGAATACAATTATTGATTACCTTTTGAATTTTTGAACTGTTAAGAACATGTGTGAAGAGATCTTAAATAAGTTAAAAAAGAAGCGCGCAGCTCTCTGAATATCAGTAACGAAATCGCTTAAAGATTTGGAATCGCAGCTTTCGGAAATTGATCCGAAAATTCATGATTTTTAAGAAAATTTTGAAATATTAAAGAATAATTTCGAATCGCTTAAAAGTGTCGATACAGAATTAGAACCTCTTTTTAAAGTCGAAGAATTTGATGCTGAATTCCAAAAATCTGAAGAATAGCGTCAAAAGGTCGTTAAATGCAGTTTCCGTACCTCCAAAAGAATCGACGAATTAAAAAAACGCAAATCTACTGAAACTGTAGTAAATACTGACAGTCAATCAGTATTTACTACAGTTCAGTACTGACAGTCAAAACGTAAACAAAACATTAACAAGTGTCTGTTCGAATTAAATTACCTAAGTTAACTTTAACGAAATTCTACAGGAGATATAAAGAACTGGCTAACCTTTTGGAACAATTTCGAGTCTGCCATTCATAAAAATGATTCATTAGATAAAATAGGCAAATTTAATTATTTGAAAGCTCATTTAGGTGGTTCTGCTTTTCTTTAAATACATTCTAAGGATTACCGATTACTGCTGCTAATTACGATCCGCAATTGATCTTCTAAAGAAAATAAATACTCGAATCATTTCAGCGATGGAAAGAGCAATAAATTAGGAAACGAAAAGCTTCTTCTGCTTCTGATTTAGTGTCTACGGGTATTAAAGAAAATTGATTAAGGCATGCATTTTTTTGCGGAGATTTTTCCCATTCAAGCCATACATGTCCTATTGCCCAGAAAGTAACAAATGACGAAAAGGTTGAAATACTACGCAAAAATGGCACTTGTTTTAGGTTTACAAAATAAGGGTCACAACAGCAAATCTTGTGATTCTAACATTTCTAACATTCTAACATTGTCACTCTAACCATTCTACGATTATGTGTAAAAGAATTAATTCCGAGAGTAAAAAAAGGAACGATCAAAAACTGTCCAGGAAGTTGAAAATAAAGTACTTTTCGAATCAAAGCAACTGTTCTGAAGTTTATTTACAAACTTTGGTCATAGGGGTAGCTAGGAAAACCTTAAAGGGTTATTTAAGACTGCTAATAGATACCGGAAGTCAGAAACAGGACACGTACATAAGTCAATATGCTGTCTAAAACGTTGAAATTAGAAAAAGATAGGAACTGACGAAGAATTAAACATGGGTTATTTGGAGGTGTAGAAGTTTCGGAAGATCATAATCGTTATCAAATAGATTTAACTAGTTTAGATGGAAAATACAGGTGGAAAATCGAAACACTAGACCAGAGAAAAATTTGTTCGTCGCTACCTAAGATCAAAGACGAAAAGTTAAATTAAAGTAATGGAAAAAAGGAATCCTTATCAAGACAATCATTGAATGGAAATCTCTGTCTGTTTCAAGAAATCCGGAAGAGATTCATATGCTTGTTAGGAGAGGACAACAGCAGCACAATTGTTCACTGAAAAGGAACTTGAAACATTTTTACGGGGGGGGATTACGTAGCCTTTGAGACCAAGTTAGGCTGGGACTTTAATGGGCAAGATTAAAGAGAATGCGAATACGTCGAGTTCCCTTGTCCGTTCTTTCTTTATCCTTACATGTTTCGATACAAATTTGTCCAATCTTTGGCGTTTAGACACCTTGGAGATTTCAAGTGAGGAATGAAAACAAAAAGAAAAGTGTCTTGGAAGAAGAAACCCGAAAACATTTCTTAAAAAAAGTGTAAAACGAGATAGCTCAGGAAGATATGAAGTAACCCTTACCCTTTATTTTAGATAAATCCGTCTTATCCAGTAACCGCGACTATGGCAGAAAGACACCTCTTCAAAACCGAAAGTAATAAAATAATTAACACACGCAGAAAAGAAAAGATTACGAAGAAATATTTGATGAGTGGGAAGTCGAAATGAACATTATTGAGGTAGTAACTGAGGAAAAAGAGGAAGGAGTGCACTACTTGTCCACACAGACCTGTAATAAAGGAATCTAGTGAAACTATAAAAATACGACCTGTTTTTAATGCATCTATGACCTGTTTAAAAATACGGCCTGTTTTCAATGCATCTGCACGTTTCTAAGAATTCACCCTCTCCCTCTCAATGATTGTTTGAGTAAAGGATCAAATTTAATAGAAATTATTCCAAGTTAATTAAATCGTTTTCGAAAAATATCGCCTAGGAGTGTCATCTGACATCGAAAAGGCCTTTTGTCAAATCAAAAATAGCAGAAAAACAGGATAGAGATTTTTTAAGGTTTCTATGGTTCGATAATCAGCATAAGTTTAAAATTTACAGACATAACCGAGTTGTTTTTCGACTTACATCAAGTCCGTTTCTGCTAGCCGCTACACTTAGTCACCATTTGACTACAGTCTCAGAAATGTTTGTAGAAACCTCTAATATTTTGAAGGATTCATTTTACCTCGATAATTCGTTAATTAGCTTAAATCACGTAGATGAAGCCGAAAATTTAATTCAAGAAGCAAGATTGATTTTGGCTTCAGGACATTTTAATTTGAGATGTTGGCGATCAAATTTTTGCATTGACATGATCGATGAGATAGAGAACAAGACGAAAGTTGTCCCAGTATTAGGATTAGTATGGGATGTAGAAAAAGATAGTTTGAATTGCAAGATCGAAGAAACATTTAACTTGAGGGAACTTATTACCAAACGAAAAGTTTTGTCAATTACCAAAAAAAATGTTTGATCCGCTTGGTTTCACTGCACCGATAACTGTAATTCCTAAACTAATTTTGCAAGAAACCTGGAACCAGAAAATTAAGTGGGATGAAGATCTTTCTCTTTCCCTAAGTGAGCAGTTTGGGACTTGGTTGAACCAATTCCCTCTGCTATCTCAGATTGAAATTCCTCGTTAGTTAAATATTGATTACGAAAACGAAGATACCTTAGTGCTGCACGTTTTTTCAGATGCTAGTAGAAGAGCCTATGCCACGTGTGCATTTTTAAAAGATGAAACCATCGAAGGTGTAAAGGTACAGTTAGTAAGCGCGAGAAGTCGAATAGCCCCAATTAAGGAACTTACGATTCCACGTCTGGAACTTCTCTCCTGTCTGATAGGTGCCAAGCTTGCCAAAACAATTCTATAGATTTGAAACTTAAGAATTGTAGAACTGTGTTCTGAAGTGATTCTTCTACAGCTTTGGGGTAGATAAGAAGAGATCAAGCATGGGGTGCGTTTGTTCATAATCGAGTACAAGAAATAAGATCGCTTACCAGAATATCTGACTGGAGGCATGTATCTGGAAGTTTAAATCCAACGGATCTCCCATCGAGAGGATGTACTATTGAGCAATTACAGAAATCGGCATGGTGGGAGGGTTTATCGTGGCTTTACCTACCAGAAGATGAGTGGCTCCATGTTGAAGAAAAGCCTGATGAAGAACTTATAAACAAAGAAAAAAGGAAAACGATTCTGACTCTTCTAGATTATGAAGACAATTTGGATGGTACTACAAATACTCTCTTCATATAAAAAAACCGTGAGAATGATCGCTTGGATTTTCAGGTTTATCCACAATTTAAAGAACGAAGATAAAAACCTAACTTCTGATGTCTCAGTTGATGAACTGGAGAATGCTGAAAAGGCACTTTGTAGATTGGTACAGAAAGAATCATTTACAGGCATAAAAGATCGCGCTATTCGTGCGCTGAGACCAATCGTAGACCGAAATGGAATTTTAAGCGCCCAAACGAACGTCCTACAGCGTCAAGATAATGAAAATTTCCGATATCCTATCATTTTACCTTCAAAGCATCTTCTTGTTGAGAGACTAATTTACGAGGAACATCTAGAAATCCAGCATGCTGGTGTCAGCACTTTAATGACAAATCTTAGAGAAAACTTTTGGATATTAAAATCCAGGAAAAGTATTCGAAATATTTATCAGAAAATGGTAAGATGTAAAGATTTGTTTGTTACACAAAGAGTGGAAGTCAAGTCAGGATTTCCACCCGAAGACCGAGTCAGAGAAGGAGCGACTTTTGAAGTCGTCGGTGTAGATCTAGCGAGTCCTCTCTATGTCCGTGAGGGGTCTAAAGGCCCGTCTACACGTAGCAATTTTCTCAGCCAACTTAGCTGGCCGACAATATCTGAGATAGCTCGCCTGTCCACACGGAACGATTTTCTCGTTAGTACAGGAATTCACTTAGCCATTCACTGTGAAAGGAAGTGTTCCCGCCCTCTACAGCGTCACACTGTCTACGATTTGTAAACAAAGCTTACAGTGTTGTTAAATAATTAAAATAATGGATGACTATTTCGCATTACGTTGCTACTATAGATACAGCTACAATTTTGAATTTAGCTTGAATTTGAAGGGAAAAAAAAAAGAAAATGCGTTTGGACCAGGAATTGGGTCAAACAACGAGAAATTCATGGTACCTTCGTAATACCCTGCTTCGGGAGTTGCGTATTGAAGACACGGGTACAATGCAGCCATGTATTTACGGATGATGTCGCGTGATTTTGATTTTTTGCTAAATTTAGGTTGCAGCAAAATTTTAAAAAATATGCTTTTCCTTTGGGTAAACTGAGTACAAAGATTACTCTTTTTTATTTTATTTACTATTTTTTTTTTTAATTTCATTTTCTGGCACTCCTATTCGTGTACTTAAATCTTGAAATAATAAAATAACCATGTTTCAGAAAAATAAGTAACTACTGTGCTTTAAATCAAAGCCTTTATTAATGAATAAATAGACAATAATGTCATGAATATCAAACCAGTATGAGTAAAAAGTAGTAATAAAGAATAAAGATTACTGCATTACAAAGCAACAGTGTAATTTCAGTGCAAAAATTTCAAATAAGAAATATCATAAAGGTGCAAAGTTTTAAGTCGTACATTTATTGAACATTAAAAAACTAATATCAGCATAATTAAATAACTAATACAGTCTCAAAACTATGATCATATGACTCTATCAGTTAATCAGCTAATAAAATTTATCAATATTGCACTAAATTAGGCTGTAATTTGTTTTCGCAAAACTCTATTAACACAAAACTGAGTTTGTGACTTTCTTTTGAGCTAATACGCAAGTACTAAAGTTTTCCAGTATATCTAAAACACGTGCCAACGGCCATTCGAAAAATAAAAAGAAAGGCGTTAAAATTCAATAAACACTACACCCGTATGCGAAAAAATAAAAAGTGACTTTTAAGTCATGCAGTTCGAATTTAGTGATGGAGAAACGAAATTAAAAAGTTCTTGCAGGTGCAGAAAGTCCAAAAGTTAAGGGGAGGGACCGAACCTACGACCTCGATGTACAGAGAAACCCTGCTCTGCTCCTTACCAATGGGCTCTGATCGCTCGTGTAGAGGGTGTCGGGAAAGCTATGTACTTTGTCACCTGATTAACTCCCATTTTTGGCGAAGTCAATGAGTTCCTGCGTTGCTTTAAATCGGCCCGTAATTTCTCGACTGGAGATTTTGCTTTCTGAATTTTTTCAATAAGTGCGACCATAGTTTCAAGTAGTTTCTGAATATTTTCCTCTTAGTACCCATGACATGGCATCATTAATAGTTTTTGGAACTTTTTTGCGGGAGTTAAAATAATTTTCACCCGAATAGAAAATTTTGAATAAATAAAGTAAATGGGGAAGACAAAGCTTCCTAATAAGAGAATCCTTAATTTTTTATTTTAAATTTACATTACTGGTGTCCCAACAACACAATATTTATTTATAGAAATCTATTAATTGAAAAATATCAGTTTCGCTTCAGCGAAATGCAGCCATGTTTATTATTCCAAATGAGGAGAAAAGGCACGTGATCACTCAAAGGAATCTTATTGGCTAGAGACTCCGATTTTATCGTACGCTAGTGAGCAGTAAACACCAGTTCTGAAATCGCGGCAGATAAGATGACCGATTTTTGACGCATGTGCAGATCCTTAAAATTGTTGCTCTACGAGAAAGTCGGCCGAGAAAATCGCTTCGCGTAGACGGGCCTTAAAGCGTGGATAGTCTTGTATACATGTGCTATTTATAGAGCCATTCACCTCGAACTTCTCTATCTACGGAAACTTTCATCCAATCTTTACATAGATTCATTGCCAGAAGAGGTAGACCTTATGTAATATATTCCGACAACGGAACTAATTTTGTAGGGACTAACAGCGTTCTTAAGAAAGTTAATTGGAACGACATATGTTCAGCCGCTTCTATCCAAAGGATACAATGGAAGTTGAACCCCCGACAGCCGCCTGGTGGGGAGGTTGGTGGGAGAGGCTTGTGCAAATGGTGAAAGGAAATTTAAGAAGAGTATTAGGTCGGACGTCCTTAACTTATGAAGAATTATATACTATATTATGTGTCTGTGAACAAGTGATTAATTCGCGACTTATCACATACGTATCAGAGGATAATCGAGATCCATCACCACTGACCTCTATGATGTTCCTCCAAGAATTGCCGTCATCAGGAGTTCCTGATATGGACTACGTAGATTCCAAAAAACTAAACTGCCGAGCCAAATAACGACAGAGAATAAGACATGATCTACGAAACAGATTTCGTAATGAATATCTTGGTCAGTTGAGACAACAGGCAATAAAGAAGGGAAAATTTCAACAGTTGCAAGTAGGCGATGTCGTTCTGTTGGAAGACAGCCAGAAACGACGCATACATTGGCCTTTAGCCAAGATAGTCGAGATTTTCCCCAGTAAAGACCGGATAGTTAGACTAGCGAGGGTAAAGACAAGAAATGGAAATCTGCTTCGTCCAGTGCCCCGGCTTTTCCCGTTGGAGATCTCTACTTAAGAATCCGTTGGCCCTCCGTTCCCCGACAGAGCACCTCGAGATAAAAACGAACAGGCAATTGGTCAGGCTGATCAGGTTGCTAGTATTCGAGAACCTGCCGCAAGTCCTCGAGTCATGGCCAGATCTGGACGAGTTGTTCGGCCTCCTCATCGACTGGACCTGTGTCTATTGAATTCCTCCGCATCGTCTGATCTCATTGGTGGGAGGTGATGTTACATCTAAACTCTGGACTATCAGCGCCGCCACATCTAAAATCCGAACTATCAGCACCATTACATCTAAACTCGAAAATAATCCTACGGGAAGAACGTAGTTAGAACTCTGAACCCGAACTCGAATGACTGTTAGATGGAGAGCGCGTAATTTTTATGTAACCTAATAATTCTAACCTATAGCATAACTTCTATTTCCTACCGAAACTCAGTTTTTAAACTATTTCTTCAAAGTGTATATTTGCATTCCTTCACGTGTGCTACAAAATTTGAATATTCTGGCACTGACAATTAGGAAAGTTTAAAATTAAACTTGAACTTGTTAGTTAAAATAAATATAAATTCCTACAGTTGCCCATGCCAGAATTTAGCAGACTTATATAAAGACCTGCTACAAACTGTTAAATTCTACATAAAACAGCCCTGAGCCCCGTTTATATACAAAATCTAAAAATCCTTAACTAGATAATAAAATAGATTCATTCTTCTTTTTCCTTTCGGTGAGGTTACTTTCTTGTACTTGCTCATTAGGTCAGTCTTGTCCTTCCAGGCATCTGGAAGAAATACTTTTGAATACAAGTTAAAATCAAACAATAAATGACACTTTACTTTCTTGCATTTATTTTCTTGAATTTAACGTTCCAACTTTCTTGCATTTAACGTAATTTTCTTAAGTTTACCGAACATTGCGGTTTTTACGAGACACAATTATTTATCCACATTCATGCTTTACTTTAGCTTAATCCCCTTTTGGCTCTCCACAATGCGTGGTGCAGAATTGCTATATGTCAAAGTGAACAAACTCTCCACTTAAACACACAATTGTTAGCACATAACAACCTTCTAAGACACTCTCTAATTCAAATTCTCAAGTCTCCATGAGCTAATAAACATGAAAATTAACTAAAGTGTTAGTGGAGAGCCCTACAAAAACACATTCATACAATAGTAAATTTTTCCCACATTCGGGCTTTAAACACGTGCAAGCTTTTGCTCGAAAACGCATGATTTGACTTGTCGAACATTTCTTAATTTGAACATTTTCTTTTGCATACATTAACTTTTAACTACATTAACTTTTATACACATTCCGAGAATTTTCGCACTACATAGTTATTCTCTATTTTCTTTGGAATTTAAACATGCATTTGCAGTATCATTTATCTTTAACACAATAGATATTTTCAAATTTTACAATCACATACTCTTAGCATAGTAGAGAATAAAAATGAGAGAAAACATTTACTTGTCTTCTCGCCAAAAGGACGAATATAAAAACAAATTTTCATTAACAAGTACTAATACGGAGCTGCTTGTATCAGGCCGGAACTTTTGGCATATTAACAAAAATAGTATTTCGACAAACAAAATCTAAACTACTCGTTTTTTGTATTAACATTACATTTCTACAATACATTATAGTTTTGTGCTTTCGCCAAATAAAACTAAAATAATTTTAGTCCTCAACCGAAGCAATTGACTTTAACATGTAACTTCGTATTTGAACAGTTTTCATATAATTTTACAAACAGAAAAGATTTATTGAAAAATTCAGTTATCTTTGTTTTTTGTTGCTTGCTATTCGGCCATCCTTTTATTGCAGAACTGACTCCATGTAAGGTTATTCACGCTGGATATTCTTACTCGCTGCTTTCTGTCCACTGCCTGGGGTCAGTCTTTTCTCTTTTCTCCTCTGTGTATCATTCTTTTCGGCTGGAATGGGGGGGGTTTCCTGTTCTTTCCTTTTGCTGGCCGGAACGTTGGTTCTTGGAGTGTCGGTAGTCGAAGACTGTTGCTTGGTGATTCTTGGTGGCTTCGGGCCATTCTGTGAGCCTTGAACTTCGGTAGGTCTGTTCACCTTACCCACCAGTGGTCTTGTAATTCTTTCTGTAAATCGCCTCTTCGTCGTGTTCTGGTGTTATCTGTTGCAGGATCTTGTCAGGGCACAGCCATCCTTGTTCCTACCTGGGGAATTTCTTCTCGATTATTCTTCATTCTTAATTTTTCCCCTCTGGAGCTTCCATCTGTCGCGGAGTTCTTTTCTGGGAAACTCTTCGAGTTGTCTGTGACCTTGTCATCTCGTTGGTTCTTTTCTTTTTTTCTGGTGGTGGAAGCGCTGATGGGACCGAAACCACCTCTTCTGTTTCGGAATCCTGCAAGAAACTATTTAATACATCAGTCTTTATGGTCATAATATTTCTTAAATTGATTACAACTAGCCTTTAGTCTTTCGCCGG